TAACAGGATATATCGTGAGCCGCACGACTACATGCAATTCGGGTCATAAACCCCTTCATAGTCCGTCACAGTCCAGAGGAACCTTACAGTCACAACAGTTCGTTACAGTTCCGAGAGACTGCGTCATTTAGTCACAATAGTTTGTTACAGTTCTGAGGGACGGCGTCATACAGTCACAACAGTTCGTTACAGTCCGCAGACTGCGTCATACAGTCATAATAGTCCGTTACAGTCCCGAGAGACGTCGTACAGTCACAATAGTCCGTTACAGTCCAGACAGACTGCGTCATACAGTCATAATAGTCCGTTACAGTCCCGAGAGACGTCGTACAGTCACAACAGTTCGTTACAGTTCTGAGGGACGGCGTCACATAGTCACAACAGTTCGTTACAGTCCCGAGAGACTGCGTCATACAATCATAATAGTCCGTTACAGTCCCGAGAGACGTCATACAGTCACAACAGTTCGTTACAGTCCCGAGAGACTGCGTCATACAGTCATAATAGTCCGTTACAGTCCCGAGAGACGTCGTACAGTCACAATAGTCCATAACAGTCCCGAGAGACTGCGTCGTACAGTCAAAACAGTTCGTTACAGTCCCGAGAGACTGCGTCATACAGTCACAATAGTCCGTTACAGTCCCGAGAGACGTCGTACAGTCACAATAGTTCCCATTATAGTCCCGAGGGATGGCGTCATATGCTGATTGTGAGTCTCCAAAAACGTGCAAATAATTCTTTGATCTGTGAACACATTGAAAATTTACAGCATTATCATAATGAATATAAGTTCATTTGATTCTTTTAGTGTTATTAAATAACAATAACAGGAGAACTACATACATCATCAAAGAATAGCTTATATCTAATTACGAATAAGATTTTTGTTGAGTGAACAACTTCCTCAATGTTACTTTTTATCGTTTTGTATAAATTTTAACTTTATCTCTTATCAAAATATTTGGGGTGCTGTGGAAGTATCGTAAATTTAAAGACTGCAATTTACCGGCAAACTAATTAATTTATTTTTCTTGGGTTAAAACTTGCAGCAAACTATTCGAAAGTTTCCATCAGGTGCTTGCCGAAAATTTTCAAACATTTCATTTTTGATGGAAGGCACGTGTCTTACCAGAAATATATAATATTTCTAACATTCTTGAATGGTTACGAAATAGTAACCATTAATAAATTGAACTCTCTTTCAAAACAAGCTCGGATGATGTGACATGATATTTCTGTAAAATAAATTCAATACCTTTCAACTCTGATGGAAAATATCCCCCGTCAAAACGTGTAAAAAATGTTGATCTTTGAAGCGAGAAAATTAATGAGGTCTATCGAAAATAAATATTTGGTCATAAAATACGGTAGAGAAGAGAACCAATAAAAATTTTGTCCAAAATTTTCAAAAATGATGTTGGCAAATGAAAGCATGGCAAAAAATCATTGGAATGTCTCCAAGTATTGTCTATTCATGTGAATACATATAATAAATTCCTAAAACTTTACTGAATGGATATTACCTGCAAGTTTGCTCACTCGAATTAAGCGTGTAATCGCATGAGATAATTTCTTCAAATTTCGTTAAATTGACAATATTATTAGTTGTCTGATTCTACAAACGGTGATTTTGTTAACTGAATTATTGCAAACGCAATTATTGAATTAACGCTGCAATGTTCGTTGCACTAGAAAATGAAGGGAAATTTTGTCCTAAAGTGCTTAACACTTTCTTTACGCGGCACTGATATGTCAAACTGAGTCTGGATGACCCCCAAAAGAGGTGAAAATGTGCGTCGCTTTTGGGACAAATCTCTCTTATTTCTCTGCCCGTTCATTGGCCATTGCTACGCTAGACTTCAGTCTTAGTTCGCAGCGACCGGATGAGCGGGACTCTACTACAAGCGCTAGGCAGGTCGTCCATTAGAGCGCTGTAATGGACGAGCTACCATTTCCAAAGATAGCAGCTCACCGTATCTTATTATGTTTTCGCTTCTATTCTTATTTTAAACACGATCTAACAAAAGCTTACTTATACACATTCTAAGAAAAGCTAACACATTCTAACACAAGCTTACATGTACAAATTCTATCAAAAGATTACATGTACACATTCTAACAAGAGCTTACATGTATACAAACTCCTAGATAAAATCTTGCAGATGGCAGCATTAATATTATCATTGACCTTTTTGTTATGTTTCTAATTTTTTACTTTCTTCAAGTTTATTCGAGTTGATGAATTTCATACTTACTTGAAGCTCCACCAAATTCCGACTATTTACGTTTTAATTTTTTAAGAATCCCTTACTTTCGGATCTAAGGTTTTCATTTTTACTTTAAGTTTTTGAGTTCTGATTTTATTATCTATTAAAAGCATTAAAGCTGACACAGTTTCGCCGGGCAAAAGGGCATTTCAGTGCTACCTCCGCTCTCTGCTAGTGCTGTGGTTGATAAGTTGTGTCAAAATTTGGATAATATTCATTTTTCTGAACAATGTGTGGGGTCTTGATGTGAACTTGCGCGCATTTCAGATGGCTATTTTCTACATGTCACATTTTAAATAGTATTTTTCAAGTTTTCTAATTTAATTTTTCAAGTTTTCTAAATTGCTACCAATAAAAAAATTGACCATTAACTGGAGGTGCATATAAATTCATTCAATGCATTTAAATTCATTCAAATAAAAGTTAGAGTTAAGTATATTCAGCGGTGCAGCAATTATGTACATTTTTCAAATAATTAACAAGCGGTAATTTCTTGTGGATTGCAGTGTATTTTAACAGTGTTTATTTTACCAAAATCAAAAATGAAAATTAATTGGCTAGTACCAATAAAAGTTGTATTTATGTTGATGATACCAAGAGAACTTTTGACAAAATATCACTGAGATCAGAAGATTAAGTATTATTTAAAGTTAGATGACATGCATATTGCAAGAAGTCTCAGCGTTAAAAGGCCTTTATGGCACGAAACTAACATCGCACAAGAAGCATTGTCTGGTGGACTCTCATAACCGAATTTGAATATACCTCGGGGGACCTTAAATATGTATATTCCTTATAATATACCTCGGGGAACATACCCCGAACGGTCGTTACAGTTAAATCGAGTGCATTAACGCATGCCATGCTCGTAGGAATTTTACGAAGAGACTTGTACGCCATTTGAGTCTACTCCAGAAGCGCCCCCATCGGAGTCATTATCCGCAGTTCCGGAGCGCAGAATCGAGTTTATGCGCCAAAATTGAAATGGCTCTCTATTTCCAAGGCCGGCGAATGCATTTATAGATGTGCAATGTTATTGTACATTTTTAACTTTGTTTATTGTTGTGCATTTTAATAATGATGAAAATGATGAAATGTGAACGGTGTATTGAAATTTGCCATAAAACGATTTAGGCCCATTTCCGAAAAATCATTCGGCTGCACATGGAGAAAGTTCAATCCAGTTGATAATTTAATTAATTGAATATAGTTAGTCGGTAATAAAATTAACATTACACGAATAATCAATGCAGTAGCTGAAGGTTTGTCGATTCGTTGTTTTTTATTGGTGGGATTGCGACAGCTAGAACAAAATTTCCAATATTCATAATTAATTGATTGCTGCATGAGAAAACTTTAGTGCCAGCGACATTTAACTCTGAAGGTTTCAGATGCATAAACCAATAACTGGGGTGAGAATTATACATGAATCAATATGTCAGCTTATGTAATGTAACGTAATGTAATGTAATTCAATGCAATGTAATACAATGTGATGTAATGTAATGCAATGTAATGCAATGCAATGTAATACAATGCAATGCAATGTAATGCAGTGCAATGTAATGTAATGTAATGCAATGCAATGCAATGTAATGTAATGTGATGTAATGAAATGTAATGTATTGTAATGCAATGCAATTCAATGTAATGTAATTTACTGAAAGGTAATGTAATGTAATGCATTTAGCACAACGCATACGAGTCTCCCTCACAACACTTCCATTCCCCCTACGCATACGAGTCTCCCTCACAACACTTCCATTCCCCCTACGCATACGAGTCTCCCTCACAACACTTCCATTCCCTCTACGCATACGAGTCTCCCTCACAACACTTCTGTTCCCCTTACGCATACTAGTCTCCCTCACAACACTTCCATTCCCTCTACGCATACGAGTCTCCCTCACAACACTTCTGTTCCCCTTACGCATACGAGTCTCCCTCACAACACTTCCATTCCCTCTACGCATACGAGTCTCCCCAACACTTCCATTCCCCCTACGCACACGAGTCTCCCTCACAACACTTCCATTCCCCCTACGTGTTGTTATCAAAACACAACGCCTTTATTAAAGACGCTGTTGAGATACGCTCGCTCATTAACTCTGAGTCTTTCATGGCAGAGTGTGCTCATTAAATTTACACTCTGTCAGCTCATTAAGATCTATGCCGCGTCAAATTTTGTATATTTTCAATTCAATGAACTCTGTCAACTCAAGAAATTCCGTCAGGGCTCTGTTGTGTGTTCAATCATTTGCACTTATTGATTTTTATTATTGTTTGCATGTGTATTATTTGAAATAATGATTTAGTTGTTCTAATGTATTTAAAATAATAGAATTTTTTTAATGAGAGACATAACGCCGAGGTTTATATTTGGATTATGATTTAAATGATAGCCAGAAGTTATTTCACTGAGATTCATTGATTTCAACAACGATAGGACTTGAGATAAATCGATACGTATTTTCTCTATGATAATACGCATACATATGCTGAAAAGCGAACATTCGTTTCAATTATACACATATTCAATTTTTATTCTTCCCGTTTGATTCTGCTACCAGAATCTATAATCAAAAAGCAAAAAAAAAACATGCTGAAAAGCGAACATTCGTTTCATTTATACACATATACAATTTTTATTTTTCCTGTGCGATAATTCTACCAGAAAATATAATTTAAAAATGAAATAATTGATATATTTAAATTTATTTTTCTCCTCTACAGTCTGGATGCTCGCGACAGTTCGGTTTACGAACCATGGAGCGACGAAAACACGCTTGGCACTCGCGCAAAATTCGACCTGAATTTAGAGCCCCCGGGACTCGTAATCGACCCCGCGCTGCCGAGTGATGAGAACCTGTACCGCTGCCGCGTCGACTTCAGGTCCTCTCCTACCAGGAACTCGAGGGTTCGGCTTACCGTCATCGGTGAGGGCAATGAGACTTCATTTACTTGAAATTTGGGTCAAGGAAAAATTTGTGGGTTCGAGTGTGGGGGCAAATGTGTCATGACAAATTTCTATTTAAAAGATATTTCAGTTCGTACTGTATTTTTGTGGATTGAATATACAGAATTGAAACGAGATGAAATTCGTGGTGGCGAGATTTTCTAGTCGATAAAATATTCTGAATCTCATATTAAATGCGTGTTTGCCTTGCAAATCAGCCAAATTTAAATCTGGCGTCGTGATACAGACGCAAAATTTTCAGTTCAATTTCAATTTTTATATTTTGCTAACATAATTAATTAGAATATCAAAAATTTAGCGTAACAATTGCGAGCTGGTTGATTTAGTGCTTGGTTACATGAAGTGATGAATCTTAAGGATTACTACAACAACTTTTCTTTTCTTTTATTTATCATTATTATTTATTTATTTTATTTTTTATTATATTATTTATAACTTTTTCTTTTATTTTATTCATGATTCCTTATTTTGCACTCAACAATCTCCCACAGAGCCGCCGGAGCGCGTGACTGTACTGAACGAACAGGGGCTGGAAGCGTCGGGAGTGATCGGTCCCTACGCCGTGGGCGAGAGAGTCAGGCTGCGGTGCGACGTGCTGGGAGGTAAGCTTTATTACTTCTCGTTCTTTCCAGGGCCCATACTTTCAAAGAAGTTAAGAGATCGTAAGTTCATCAGCCAATCATTGACGGCCTTTCAAGCAAAATCTACCAATCATAGACAAGAAAATAGAGCGTAAGTACTTACGTTCAATTAGCGAGTTTTGAAAGTATGGCACCTGTTCATGAACGTTGACTTTATTTAACGGGGAATTTATTTCGCAAACAAATATTAGTTGATAAGCTCTAACAATACGGAGTGGGGAAGAAGCTTTATTACTTTTCGTTCTTTTTTATTCTTAAACTTTGAATTTATCTAACGGGGAATTTATTTCGCCAACAAATATTAGTTGTTAAGTTTGACTATATGGAATGGGAAAATTATTTCTAAAATTGTCATAGCGGTGCGACTTGCTGGGAGGTAAGCTTCATTAAGTATCGTTCTTTTCTATTCCTAAACTTGGACTTTATTTAACGGGGAATTTATTTCATAAACAAATATTAGTTGTTAAATTTTAACTATATGGAGTGATAAAATTATTTCTACAGCATCATTTTCGTTGTTAAAAGTTGAAGTTTATAAAACGGAAAAATTATTTATGAAGGATGATTTTCTTGTATTAAGATCGAACTTTATTTAACGGGAGAATTGTTAAATCGGGGTCTTTTCCATTTGTTATAGCTGAATGTTATTTAGCGGTAAGTTGGTTCCAAAAAAGGCAGAATTTGTTAGTGATCGCAAGAGAATTTTACGCGACAAATATCACAGAGACATTCTCAAAATAAAACGAAAGCACTGCCTTTATTAAATTTTTACCATTATACTGAAACTGATTTTTCCCTTTGCCAACTGCTCCGAGAATTTGATGACTATTCATTATTTTAATGCTTAAACCTAAATTTATTTTCAAGTAATTTATGTAAGCTGGTCATCTTTAGCCGAAAGCTTCGTTGCCATAGTTTAATCGGTTTCGAAATCCTTTAAATTATGATATCTTGACAATGCAGGTTGATTCACGGAAACGAGCTACATGTAATTTGAATGCTCAGTTAAAAAAGAACCGTTAAAGATATAATTATATTATAATTTTATTGAACAAGATATTACCTAAATTTTTGTATCACTTAGTTTTAAAGATGAAATCGGACAAACGACAGCCCCATTGTCAATGCACTCAGTTAGTCGATTTTCGAAGTTACGTTCAACTCTCTGGAGCATATTGACGGGTATGTTGGCGATGGCTTGGAGTATGCTGTTTTTTAAATTAGGTAGGGTCCTTGGATAGTCATTGTAAACAATTTATTTAAGGTAACCCTATGAAAAATTGCAAAAAATTCACCCTGTTGGAATCAGACATACCTGACATTCATTTCAGTCAATTATTCGTTCTCCTCCAGGAAATAAATGCCTATTATGCCGAATTTCGTCAGCGCACGCCGCACAGTTATGCGTTCACATAGAAGTTTTCGGTTGTTGTGGCAGTCCGCTGACCTTCAGATACTTTTGCATTCGCACTTTCACTTGCCGTAAATCAGGAACCCCAACCTGAAGGACGATTACGGAACCTGTTACGAAATGCTCGCTGAGTAGAGAAAATGGAATGGCCATTAGAAAGCTATGCCTTGACAGCAAACGTACGCTGCTCACTTGTCCAATGCATAATGGCAACTGACTAGGCGAGACACAAAACCGCATGACCTTGCCTGTCTTATGAAATACCCCCATCCCTTTTCCTACGACATCTGGCTGCTTGGCGAGGAATACAAAACAGGAAGTTTCCTTTCAGCAGATAACTAAATGTTTAAAAACAGCCTTACTGATGAAAAAAATATGAAACTGACATTAAAACCTTATTCCACCGAGTATAAGCTAATAAACGACTCCTATTAAATTTTTCGGGGCCTATTTAGTGAAAAGACATGAAAAATCGTTGCAAAAATCTAATCCATATAACTTGATTTTCGTGAACCTTGATAAACCATAACTTTTTCCTTGAACGCTATGGCTTTCAGTTGAAAAAGTATTGTCTTTTGCACATAAATACAGTGCTCTAATAATGATGATATACTATACTATTTAATCATATATTAAACAATTACCAGTGAGTAATTAAAAATTACGAATAAAAATCATCGAATTCTCACGCACAAAACATTTTATTATAAACGTACGACTCATACTGAATCTTCCCCTCGATTTACATTTTTTCCCAATGACTCTTTTCCCAACTGAATATTTTCCCTGTTACATAATGAAATTTTTTCCCTGCATCATATTAAAAACGTTCAACTCATGATGAAAAAATACTATGATTGACGAAATTAGCTTCAGTTTGAAGATAAATCAGGCGCAAAGTGATTAGTAATGAATCTACAAATTGCATCTATTTTTTAAAATTTTGATAATTTTTTGGCTGTATCGCGGCGCATCGGAAAGCGAAAATTTATCATGGATTTTTGTTGAAATTTAAAAATTTTCTGATGTTATGGAATCAAGAGAAGTATGAAAATCTCTCTCTTTAAATTGAAATTTCTACCACCTTCCATATTCCTTTTTCCTCGCATTCGTGTTTTTAACGTTTTGACGCCATCTTTGCTATCTGGAAAAGTCTCCGGACAATTTCCGCCGGATTTTCACGGTCCCTTTTCGTCATCTGAGTACAAGTGAAGCCATCTGGTGCGTGAGAAGCGCAAATACTTTTCAAAATACTCGAGAAAATTCTCTGGTGAAAATTTGACTGTCAACACGGTATGGCGACGAGCGTTTCGAGGACGCTGATATCGGACGAACGACTTTTAGCGACGTAACATCTTTTCGTCAAGTGAAAGAAAGAGCGGTGCGAATGAACAACAAGCATTGACTGAAGCAGAAAATTTTTACCTGCGATGACGTTTTGGAAGTGAGATAGTCGGTTGCAAAGAGGTAGTTCACTTAAATGATTTTACAGTGTTTTGAAACGTGTGTAATGCGTGATTGCGGAATTTTTCCATTGCATTTGCTTGCTTTTTTTCTGCAGCATGAATTTCGTACGTGCAGTTCTCTTTTATTCATAATCGTACTGCTAAAACATCGTGGTGATTCACCTAACGTTAACGCCGTTTAACATTTGCTAGTGATATTCCCAAAAAAAATTTTTTGGGCACCACATTTATCTCGAAGTGTCATTTTTCAGCCAAGATTCTCGCGCATCCAATAACAACTTGGAATTGTCCTATGAGATTTATACAGACATTCTTCCCTCGTGAATCGTTCGGAATGACAGCCACGACTCCTAGTATATATATTGAACATATTTTATAAAGCTGAGACGGCCCCTGAAATAAATTGGTTTTGAAACTTCTCATTCGTGAAAAAAACTCGAGGTTCGCAATCTTTACCAATACTTAGTTGTTACCAGAACAGTTTTATTTAGAACTTGGTTTAGAATTTTCTTCATTTTCATAAGGAACTAGGTCAGGCTTTTTAAACTTACATATTTTAGGACGATTTGCTTGAAATATCTGGATCATTATACTTACACTCTTGTCTCTTATTTATTAAAAATTTATCAATAATATGACTAAAAGAATTGTTGGTCTCCTGTTCTTATTTTTAAGCCACTTCCGCGTCATTTTAGGGAAAACCTTTTCATTTTCAATATATGGACAAATATCTGAGCATTGTAAAATTTGTGAAAATTACAAATTGAGTTGAACAGCTCCTTGGGTATACAAGCGAAAACTGTATAATTAAAATGAATATATGCATAATAAAGGCAAACTAACTTGGTATACTATGATCTTTGCAAGCAGTGCATTATTTCGAAAAAGAAAAAAATATATAAAGATAATTTTAAATCTTTAGGTACTTAGTGAACATTCATAATAATTAATGTTTAAGAAATGATTTCACACGCCCAACCATAATTGTTTAACCAATAAATTAAGAACTCAAGTAATTGTGTTAGTTATTTACGTCTTTTTAAATTTCACACGTCCATGTAGTATATGCAGCAATATTAAGTCATCATTTTATAATTAATTCGCAGATAACAGCATTATCAACACCATAACAATTCTATCAGCATTTAGCTGTTAAATATGATGTCGTGTAAAAATATTTAGTGCATCTACTGGCTGCATATGACTACGTATATAAATATTAAATATATTTAACTATTCGTGTATTGGTGTGTATGACTGCAAGTAGCAGGCCGTCCTCACCCCATTGTGTCCGGGGGGCTTCATAAATACCATATTAATCCTATCATTATTTTACCGTTAATTATGACAGCATGAATAATTACTAAATATTTTAAACCGTCGTTGCGTATGTATGCATATTGTCGCGTATTTTTACAACACTTCTCATTAACTTCATTCAAAAGAAATTCATTGTATATTGGTAACAACGGAGACACTGGCCTCTTTCTTTAGAAATCTGGGCCTATACTTTCAAAAAAAGCTAAGAGATCGTAAGTTCACCAACCAATCATTAACTGCCTTTCAAGCAAAATCCATTAATCATAGAAAAGAAAATAGAGCGTAAGTACTTATACCTTCACTTAGCGAGTTTTAAAAGTATGGCCCCTTGTCTCTAAAAAGTAATTTTTAAACTCATATTTTAACTGTCAGGTCGGCCTCGCCCAACTGTGTCCTGGTGGCACGAAGATGTTGCACTGGACAGCGAAAGCGAACAACAGAGCGCAGAAGTGACAAGCAACACGCTTATCTTGCCACCTCTGCAGCGCTCCGACCTCTACAAGATCCTTACTTGCCAAGGATCTAATAACAATCTTACCATTCCTGAGGCCACCACCGTCACTCTTGATGTCATTTGTGAGTCTAATTAATTAATAATTCGCCAAGTGCCAATATAAGTTTATGCTCCCAGAAATGAGGGAGAATTGGTCTAAATGTCAACATTTATTGTTCTTGAATAAGTCAGCCTGAGCCAGTTTGGACCGACATGAGAGCGTATCAGGGCAATGACTGCTTTCTACTCGTGCTGTGGTAGAAAAGTGTCACAATCTGGACAATATGACCCTTTCATTTTTCTGAGTGTAATTGTGAAAGTTTATATTTTATATCATGACAATGCGCAGAAATCAATTTGAACTTGCCAACGAGAATTATTGGTTCCTACGATGTCCCATATGCATTTTGAACAGCCAAATGATAAACTATTTTTTGTAACTCAGTTTCATAGGTAAAATGTATACTGATAACTTGAATTGCTTGATTAGGGATTTGTGGAAATATCTTTCGCGAAGAGGTTACAACTGAAAAAATATCTCAATATCAACCTCATCCTTTCATGCTATATAGGGTGCTTTTTCAAACGCTAAATTTTGCATATACATCATATTCATAATTTTATTATTTAATCGTCTATTTGTCCCAAAAAATGTTATGAAGATAAAGCCGATTAGTAATTCGGTATGTTTAATTCAGTCTTTAAATCGTTTCACAATCCTGAAAATATTTCTATTTCGGTTCGAGTCAGAGGCAGACATTTAGCTCGGACTTAATTTTTTCCTGATATTACAAATACAAATTCAAGCAGTAGAAATATTAAACAAAATACATACATACATACATACATATACTACACTTGTACATATATGTATATATGTACAAGTGTAGGATGGTAAAGTTTGTACTTTAGGGCATGTTTGATTGAATACCTGAGAATTGATTTTATTGACAATAATTTTGTCTTCTTAGTTTAAAGATAGGTTGAATAATATTTTTCGATTTGCCAACGCCAACGAAAAATATTTTTCTGGGCCTATTGACCAAACTAATAAGAATATCATCAATAAAACTCATTTTCTGATCTTCGTCAAACCTGTTTAAAAGAAGAAATCCGCCATCCAATACAAACACATCGTCCTATGAAAAATCATACAATAAAATTGTATACAAACATATATTTTTCAATAAAATTTGATTAAAGACAAGAGAATTTATTGCATTGACAACATTTTATTAGTTTTTAGCGCATTTTCTCATTTATGAAAAAAATGCACTATTGTGCTCGCCATGTCCGTCCGTCCGTCCGTCCGTCTGTCCGTCCGTGACTTCACGTTTTAGTCGACGAAAAAATGCGCTCTCTGTCACTCACTGCAGTGAGTACTGAGTTATATTTTTTTCAATATATCGAACATTTTCGGCAGTCCCGCCGTACTCGGTGCAGCTGTCGGGGCTGGAAGAGCCGCTGGTGGAGGGCAGCCACTACGAGGTCTCCTGTGAAGCTCGGGGCTCCCGCCCCCCCGCCATCCTTACCTGGTGGAGGGGGGACGCGCAGATCCAGCCTGTCGACGACCAGGTTAGTATTGTCGATTTAATTAATTAAATTACCTAAAATTACAAATTTAAATTCGTAATTTGATTAATTTAAATTACGAATTTAAGTTAGTAATTTAATTAATTTAAATTACGAATTTAAGTTTGTAATTCAATTAACTTAAATTACGAATTATAAGTCGTAAACCTTCAAATTTATAATGTAAGGAAGAGAGCCTTGCTTGAAATTCGAGATCTGTAGATCTGGGCAATTCACGAGTTGACAGGTCTGCGTCTGCAACTCCTTCCCAGTGAAAATTTATTGACGCGTCAGCTTCTGATTTGGATTACCAGAAGCTGGGGCGACTCTAAATTTTGTTAGGGTTATTATTTATCAAGGTTGAAATATGGGAGTTTCTTGAACATCATTATACGGATTTCCAGCCCACCGACGACATGGTCTGTAAGTAATTTTTATAAGAAAGGAATTAAGTAATTATATTATAAATTTTATATATAATATATAATATATAGTATATTATATGTTATATAATATATGTCATATAATATGTATTATATATTTATATTATGTATTATGCAAAGAAGTATATTCCTTGACTTTTTCATAACTTATTTTTTGTGTATTTGCGCCGTAGGCTCATTTCTATCGGGCTGTCGTTGCCAACTTTAGTTTTATATCGCTTTACCAAATAAGATTTTCGATTGCTCGTGTTCTTATATGATTATTCGCGACCAGCCTAGCCTATTAATACATTAATTTTGTATTGATAAGCCCTTGAAATGATATAAATGTACAAAACTAGTCATTTCAGCACATTATTTATTACGCCCAGAGATATCTTGTGCAACCTCAAATTTTAATACAGCCCTTTTCCATCAAACTTAACTTCAAAACCAGTCAGTCATTTTAGAACCACAATTATGCCCCAATATATAAGTTCAACCGAACCAAATTACAAGAGTTTTCACCCTCATAGGCTTTCAAATTTCATTTCGTTTTAATTCTCAGCACGATCCGACCTTGTTGAAGTTTCCAAGATGGTGGGCCGTAATAATGTTATTTGATACTTGTTAAGAAATCAGTTGGCGAAGCCAATAAATTACAATCAATTTTTCCAGGATATATTGCCGCTTTCAATTCCCGAATTTGTTGCCTCAAAAGAGACTTGGTTGCTAACTCAAAACGATAGCTCGCCATCGGTAGCAAACATGTAGTAAAATGGCCTATGGTAAAGACATTTCTGACTGAGATTTACGAGTTTGCAATGAAGTTTACACCTCATTTCGATATTGCATCAAAATAATGAACGGATACATAAAAGAATTATTGACGCCACGGTAAAGACGGTACGAAATTTTATGCTAAGACATCATGGACTCACACTCTACTTCGAAGAGAAAGCACTGTCTTATGTTTTCATTAAGACCTGAATTAACTTGCGTCGAAAATTTGAACTTCACAAGTGGCGTAATTAAAGCAAATTAGATGGCGCCCAAAGTTTCTGATTGGCATCCTTGGTGCTCTAATCAAATACAAAGTCAGCGCACTTGAGGGGAAAGACATCGAACGGTAATTAAATGAGGGCTCGGTGTCTTGAATATTTACCGGGTAAAGAGTGATGGCCGTGTTAAGCAACTAGTGTTGTTGCTACAAAGAACTTCGATTGCTAGCGGTATTTCCTGATTTAATAAGAATAAGAATTTAGGAAGTATCAACTTAGCGATATGTGGTAAAACGTATTATTTAAAATAATACTGCTCAGGTCAACCTATATTTGAAAAATGTGAGTGATTTTTAGGGAAACACTGCTACTGGAAGAAATCCTCAGCAAAAACCTACAACAATAAGAATATTTATCGATTAAATAAATATAATGTTATGCTTTGAATGGGAAGCAGAAGTATAAGTATTATTACCTTTATAAACTCTTATCTGACAATAAATATTTCAAACGCACCCGGAATCACTTTTGAAGGATTGACGAAAAAAATATTGATCCTACAATTGGGCATATATAAATTTTTACTGAAATAAATTACTTTTTTAAATCTAATTTTGTAATATTAAGTCTGAAAATAAATATATATCCTAAAAAATTATAATATTTAAATTAATGTTTTAACCACGACCAAATTATTGTCTGTGCAACAGATCCTGGTTGAGAACAACGTGAGTCGCTCACGTCTGCGTCTGGAGGCTCGCGTAGAGGACCAAGGATCAAGTCTGACGTGTCGCGCTGAGAACCCGCAGATCCCCAACTCTGTCCTGCAGGATAAAGTCCCCCTCGAAATACACTGTGAGTTAACTCGGCAATCTTGTTCATGTTCTTTCATGTCATTATGTTATTTAATCATGTTTCATGTTATTATGTTTCGATAATCATTTTCATGTTATTTTTTTAGGTAATGAAATATGAGTAGGTAATGAAATATGAGTAGGTAATGAAATATGAGTAGGTAATGAAATATGAGGAGGTAATGAAATATGAGGAGGTAATGAAATATGAGGAGGTAATGAAATATGAGGAGGTAATGAAATATGAGGAGGTAATGAAATATGAGGAGGTAATGAAATATGAGGAGGTAATGAAATATGAGCCGGCAATGAAATATGAGGAGGTAATGAAATATGAGGAGGTAATGGAATATGAATAGGTTATGAAATATCATTCCAACCGTAATGACATTTCATGCGTATTATTTTTTTGTGAGAGTTCAGGGTATTGGATGATTCATAAATAATTATCAAAGAGAATTTCAATATGGTATTTTTAGTTTCATTTGTGATTTAGGTTAGAGATTTTTCAATTCTAACGATTTTAGGTTCCAAATTTATTATTCATCATGGTTTTAAGTTCAAGATTACAAAAGTTTTACTAGTAGCTATTGATTTCGCTTGCAGCAAATAGGAACTTCGTCAGTGAAAATTTATTACTTATTTTTAAAGTTAAAATCTTAAATTAAATAGCCGGAAAATTGATGCTCTTTCGATAACATTATTAAATATTATTGGATTATACAGGCTTGGTATATATAATTATAACTAACTCCATTGTTATTCAAAATATATCGCAAAAGTATTCCGCTTAAATAGAATAATTGCACGAATTTTGTCATACTACAGTACGCTCACTTAACCCTACTAAGAATTAAACGGTTTTGAGCATTTTTTATAGATCTTCTGCATCTCAAAATACATATATATTTTTGTGAAAATTGGAAACGACTTTGAGTCGCCTAGACTCCGAATTTTTCGCAAATTATTACATGAAAAGAAACTTTTCCACTGAGGATGCGCGTGTGATCTCCAATAAATGCCGAAGTGTAGTCATGAAAAGGCTTCTCCTTTTTCACAGAAAGATGGAACACTGGAAATACGAACACGTCGTATTGAACTGGGAGATAGGGTACATTTCGTTCTGAACTGGGAGATACGGTACACGCCGTATTGTGCTGGGAGATACGGTACACGGTGTATTGAACTTGGAGATACGGTACACGTCGTATTGAACTAGGAGATACGGTACACGTCGTATCGAACTGGGAGATATTTTACACGTCGTATTGAACTGGGAGATACGGTACTTGTAATCGTGAACTGAAAAATCGTGAAAAAACATTACACGTAGTATTGAACCGAGAAATGTGCTTCTCCATGTACCATCGATCTTTTTATTGAGAAGGAAATGCGACACTCTGGCTTATAGGTTTCATACGACAATAGCTTTGATCTTAGCGAGTCTTTGAAAGTCTGATGGCGATGATGCATGTGAAAGACGAAGTGATATCGCGCTGCCTAATGCGATAGACGTGTAGCGCTCTATCTTTTGGCGCCATGGGTAGCTCAGTGCCCTGTCGAAGTTCAATACTCATCTTTCTTACAGTGAGTAACTTGGGAATACACAGCATTGCAGTGAGCATTTATGTTTAGCAATGCGAATTCAGTTAAAAAGTTCACTGTAATGCAATAGTCTTGTAGTGAGGTGTCTTCGTGTTTCAGGGTTAGCTCGGAACATAGGAAAAAGGCTTGCAGCATAGAAAAGAGGCTTGGATCATAGTAAAAAGCTTGGAGCATAGAAAATGCTTGCTGTTTGGCAAAAATAGTCAGAATTTTTCGAAAACGGTAAAAGTTTGGAGGTTGTTACGGCTGAAGTGATCAAGATGCTAAGACAAGCTTGTTAGCTAATGAGGTTGCTGAAAACATTGCTAAATGTTAATGGCTTTAGCTTTTAATTAAATAGAATTTTTATGCAACATTTTCTATCTATCCGGAACACGAAGAACTGAGAAGCTCAGCATATGACAACAAGTTTTCCGTAGGTCTTCAGAATGCTCATAAAATACAGCATTTTTCTCTCGTTGCCGTCTCGTCTCTAACTGTTTACGTGCTTACTACGAATTCCCCATCTCATAAAATAAATGGGTCATATATTGTCCAAATTTCGACACATTCTTTAATCAACCACCGATTTTAACCACCAGCACTGAAATCCCGGTTTGCAGGCGAAACGAAGTCTGATGACCCATACAAGGGCAGAAATATATCGCTATTAGGACGAAGTAATATATTTCTTTGAGTGTAGAAAATTTTCGTGACCATATATATAATTGAATTATTCCCGCCACAGTCAGCCCACGCCTCCACCTGGCAGCGGGTGTCAGCCTGAACATGAACAACATCAGGGAAGGTGCTGACGCTTACTTCGAGTGCAGCATTAAGGCCAATCCTAAGGTCTTCAAGGTCCAATGGAGTCACAATGTGAGTATTAACCCTCTACCACCGCATGTCAGTCTCCAGGAACATAACTTTCAACTTAAATTATACGTAAACTATTGAGTGTAGCAACCTGAGGACGTTTGTACGCAAGAGAGAACATTTTAAAGTTGTCGTACGCTGCGGCAACCATCAGTGCAAGTCATTTTACGATCACCAGAACGTATCCTTTTTGGGAAGTATATAGGCTTTTGGAAGTATATAGGCTCATGTCAGGCGGTAGAGGGGCTAAATAATATGTTAACTAAAGCCCATTAATTATCAATCATGGCTGCACTCTTATGGAAAACAAAGAAGCGACGTTCGCTTGGAAGTTAAGCAGTAATAGAAGAGCGTGATTCTATGTTACGTACTTTGAGAATTAATTTCAGTAACATGATACAAATGTTTTAATGAATCTATAAATATTGCATTACAAACTTACAAACTAAGAATTTTTATATGCATCATGAAAATCAAAAGAGATAAATTGCAATGCTTCAAAATTAAGTTAAAGCAATCTATTCTTATTTTTTATTATTAGATACATTTTGGCCGCGTAAATATTGAAAATTGAGAAGAAAATTACTGTCGCTTAGAGGAACGCACGAGCTAGTTTTTCATTTATTATTCTTCACGAACAAGTTCTATTCTTCCTTGTTTATACATTCTACATCAATCTATGATGATTAAATTTGAATTTGTGTTTAAATTTTACAGCCTAAATTAGACGGCTTGGTCCCGACGCTTGTGTTTGCAGTGATCTAATTGAATAATTTTTCGTGTTATTCACTACGGTTTTCATGCAATTATGTATGTTAATGAGACTCAGGATCAGAGCTCTCGAGTAATTGTTCGTAACTCGTATTTAGTCTTCAATATTTTTTTTTCTCTACAGAATTGGACATTTTTCGAAATCAAAGGGTGGAAACGTTTAAGATTTATATTACTTAATTTTAAATTTCTATATGAATTTAGGCGTGAAAGTTAAAGCGTGTTATATTTCATGCGAAGGAAATAAGGTTTTGCTTACTATAGAGAATAAAATTAACACTTAAATAATAATAAATAAATAATTTATTTCCCACACTTTCGTACCGATTAAAAGCTGACCTATAAAAAAGTCGCTAATAATATAATATAATAATATAACAAAAATAATAGGTTAAGTAATATCATAAAAGTCGCTGGCCTATAATAAGAAGTCGCCAATAAATTCATTTACACCTGACATAGTTAGGTAATTCCTTGAAGTCAATATATTTAAGAGGCAGTAAAATATTCGTGTCATGAAGTTAAATAATGACTGCTGCTAGAAAACAATAATGATGCATAGAAGTAGAATAAAGTAATATTTACATACGAGTCTTTCATGATGGGATGACTCAGCATTTACATCGCGAGGTCGGAAAACTAGATCAGCGCAGAGGATTAAGCCATGATTAATAATTAAAAATAATTATTAGAAATTAGTAACTATAATAATGGTAAATTATACGCAATGTAAATTCACCATATCTTCATGAATTTATTTACCGTGTTCTGTTTGCTTCGGCTTCTAATGAACTTTAGCTTCTACTTCACCAAATATTAGTTTTTAGTAACAATGATTTTATATTTTAGCAAGCTAATAATGTCAATGATATAATCAGAAAATACATTAATGGGTCAATGGAGTGCTGATATAGTCTCGAATCTGATGGCGGCTCCTGAGTTCAATTTTAAATTGTGGACTTGAGAAGGAGAACAAGTTGCGTGGAGGGAGGCATGTGGCCGGGCTGTGGACTTGATAAGGAGAATAAGTTGCGTGGAGGGAGGCATGTGGCCGGGCTGTGGACTTGATAAGGGGAATAAGTTGCGTGGAGTGAGGCATGTGGCCGGGCTGTGGACTTGATAAGGAGAAAAAGTTGCGTGGAGTGAGGCATGTGGCCGGGCTGTGGACTTGATAAGGAGAAAAAGTTGCGTGGAGTGAGGCATGTGGCCGGGCTGTGGACTTGATAAGGAGAAAAAGTTGCGTGGAGTGAGGCATGTGGCCGGGCTGTGGACTTGATAAGGAGAAAAAGTTGCGTGGAGTGAGGCATGTGGCCGGGCTGTGGACTTGATAAGGAGAAAAAGTTGCGTGGAGTGAGGCATGTGGCCGGGCTGTGGACTTGATNAGTGGAGTGGAGGAGTTGTAGTGGAGTGGAGGAGTTGTAGTGGAGTGGTGGAGTTGTGGTGGAGTGGTGGAGTTGTGGTGGAGTGAATGTGTTGAATAAGAAAAATAGGAAAATAAAAAATATTAGTCAAATTATTAATATTTATTCGTCAAATTATAAATTAGATCCAAATATTTCGATATCCCATGACGTAACTCAACGAGGCTCGATGCAAGGTATCAATATCTTAACGTTCGCTATTATCATTTAACCTTCAGTAAATTCTAAGCGAAAATTAAAAAAAATCATAAAAATCCCTACATGTTTTCTATCCCTTATAAAATAATATAAAAAAATATATGAACTGCGATTACTTATAGTTGTGTAAAGCTGTAAGCTTCTTCTCACATAGACCTTCTAAGCAACGGTTTAATATAATAAACATGGGAACCAGTTAACATGTTACAAATTCCTCTTACTGAAGTGCACACAAAGCGCTGAGCTGCATAATGCCTAAAGCATTTCCCTAAAAATGCTAAGAGTGACCGTAGAATTTCATGAATAATGAGCATAACACATGAATATTTCAAAATGGATACGGGCGTCTTGTATACGGGACGAAGAGCTGCTGCTTCTTTTTAAATAATACTTGGACCAACTTACAATTTTTTTATCATCATTATTATAATGCACCACACTTAGCCATTAATTCACAGTTTTTTGTTGTGGCATGTAAACGGGCGTCTTACATACGGGATGAAGAGCTGCTGCTTCATCTTAAATAAAACTTAGGCCAGATTACAGTTTCTAAGCATCATTGTTATAATGCATAACACTTATAGCCATTAATTCAAAGTTCTTACGTTATGGCAGGGCATTGAGCTACACCACAACGTGTCAGCAGGCATCATCCTTAGCAACCAGTCCCTGGTGCTGCAGAAAGTTCTTAAATAAAACATACGCTAGCTTACAATTTCTAAGCATCATTGTTATAATGCATAACACTTATAGCCATTAATTCATATTGTTTACGTTATGGCAGGGCGTCGAGCTACACCACAACGTGTCAGCAGGCATCATCCTTAGCAACCAGTCCCTGGTGCTGCAGAAAGTTTTCAAATAAAACATACGCCTGCTTTCAATTTTTATCATCATTATTATAATGCATCACACCTAGCCAATAATTTACAGTTTTTACGTTATGACAGGGCGTCGAGCTACACCACAACGTGTCAGCAGGCATCATCCTTAGCAACCAGTCCCTTGTGCTGCAGAAAGTTAGCCGGTCCTCTAGTGGCGCCTACGTCTGTTCGGCCACCAACGCCCGGGGTGATGGTGTCTCTGAACCTCTGGAGCTCAACGTCAAATGTGAGATTATATTAATTTATTATATTATATTAATTTATTATATTATAATAATTTATTATATCTTTGCCTTTGTTTGCTGTCACGGGGGAATTTAGAATTTAGCTGCGTAGGAGAATGCCTGTCACGGAACAATGACGCTCAACGTTCAAAGCGAGGGTGTTGTGATTATTTGTCACGGCCATAAAAAGTAAATATTTTAATCCTGGCATTAATGTGCAGGGAACACCACACTACTGAAATAATTTAGCTTTGAAATAATAAGAAAATATTTAATTATCTCTGCATTGTTGCCTCAAATTAGTGAATTGTGATCGTTTAATGGAAAATGACGAACATGGTTGAGTGTTAATTGAGAATAATAGTTATTAGTGGGATGAATGCGCAAAACTTACCGAGCCTGAATTCAGCATTGAGGAAAATGTTAAAATTTTAAAAATATTCAGTTGAGCCGTGATACGATTTGCAAATATTTATTGTGTTAGCGAACACGGGTACTATGTATGGGATAGCATTCAGAGCGAAATGAATCATGAGCAAAATTATTAAAAGCTTACTTAAGTAGAACTCATCGACCGCTTAACCGTCGTTTCATAATAGATACTAGCATTTTTTTAATTAAAAATTCGCAATTCAAGCTTTTATGATTTCAACTCATTTTGTACTCGTAACATAACGGTTTAACCGCTGTCTGTCGTTTCAACATTCGCTTATAGTAGTTGATAATTGTTCGTACAAAATTAGCGCATATACGTATGCACTAATTACTATAGTAATCTAAACATGGCTCGAAAAACTTTATTTTATGTTAATTGCAGGAAAATTTCAGTTACTAACGCTCCTCCTCAATTCAAATCAAAGTTTATTGAAATAAAGATATTATAATGTCGGTTCCAATTCGCTGTAAAAGTTGCATCAGCGGCATGAACGGCCTTGCTGTGATCGATGGTCGGAAATGCCATTCGTCATTCTACGAACTTCCACCATCGGCCATTTATTTTGATAGCGCAGCTCGCAATTTTTCACCAAGAGCTTGAAGAATATTAGGTTCTTATTGAAGCTCGGGGGAAAGTGATATACCATCTTAAAATTAAAGCTTGCTGATGAAATCCAATATAATATCTAGAAAGTGATATCTTGCTTATATATGAATGCTAATATACTGTGATTAATTTCATACTTGAGTATGCAAGCGAATTTAATTCTTGAAATTAATAATTGCTTATAAAATCAAATTAAAAACTTGAAATTAATACTTGCCTATTAAAGCTGAGATATTTTTTCTAAATTATTGCTTGTGCGTCTAAAAGCATTGCATTTACGATAGCTTTCTTTCAGACTTTTATTTTCTATTGCATACAATTATTCATGACCTCTTGATGGAAAAAAAAAATTTTTCTAGGGTTAAAATGAATAAATAAATTATCTGTTCATGTTTTATCTCAATTATTCATAAAATAATAAATGTAGTTTCAATGGTTTGGAATGAGCTACAACCAACATCGAGTCGCTCCCCCCCCCAAAAAAAAAAGTTTTATTCGATCATCTAATTTTAGACTCTGATAAATATTATTATCAACATTTTTTTGCTTTACTTGGATTCATATCAGATAATTTTGAGCAATTTTTTTTCAAACATAATCGGAGAAAGTTAAGGGCTTGTAAATTCAACGATTAAATTATGAATTATATAACAAGTGCATGCTCAGTTTCAGTACTCATCTAGTTTTCAAAATCATGTTATCCGGATTTGACGATTTATTAAGTTGGCGTTCGAAATATTTTATACATATTCCAAATAAATATGAGTAAAGAATTCAGTGGTATTATTTTAAATAACAATATTTTCGTAACTTGTCCAGGTAGAATTGTATAACTAACGTTTGGTTTTTAATTACAAATATTAATGCTTAACACAAACTATTATATTTTGCTTAGTATTTTCGCTAAAATCCTGCTAATATTCTTTCGCACTTATATCATTAATCTGATTAAATCGCAAGTTCGCAAAGAATTTAGAAGCAAATCACTCGACAAGCGAATACAATATAATATATGAATATAATATAATATGATATGATATAATATAGTATATTATAATGTAATACAATATAATATAATACAAGGTTAAAATAAATAAAGAAATTATCTGTTACTGTTATATTTCGATTATTCATATAAAAATAATAAATGTAGTTTCAATGGTTTGAAAAAGCTATAAGCAACATTGAGTCGGCCCCAACATATTGACTCGGTCCCAAAAAAGTATTATTCGATCATCTAACTTTGGACTCTGATAAATATAATTATTAACATATTTCACGTATATGCAAATACTTACAACCTAATAGATAACATTGGTGTATTTATTTCTGTTAACAGTTGCCCCGGTGTGCCGAGATCTCCAGCAGGCCGTGTACGGAGGCGGTAAGAACGAACACCTGAACGTAAGCTGCGCTGTACATGCTCATCCACCACCTTCATCGTTCAGGTTAGAGACAAATATGTAGAATTTTGGATTTAGCATATAAAATTAGAATTTAGAATTTGGTATATATAATTTAACTCATTATATGATGGCTTAATTTGTTTAGATATCTTAAAGTATTACTAGTTAACTCGAGATAGAAAATGCATGTAATTGTTTAAAATATTTCAAAGAATATGATGTCGCGTAAGTTAAGAATAAAATATTGAATTCAAGCATTACGTAAATGAATAATTTGCATAAAGTTTCCGATATCTGTTTTCTGTTAATTCAAGTTAAAAATAAGCAATTAATTATTTTGAAAATTTGAATGAACAGTCATTATTCAGCGAAAGAAGGATTTTCCGATTTTCACCTTAATCTTGTAAGTGTGTGGTAAATACTTGAAAAAGTCATAAAGTATGCGATCGAGAATGAAAATACGGATGCAAATTTTCTGATTAAATTTCCATTTAATTAAACATTATTTCTTATCGAGACAATAAATCGTTAATATTTCACTAAATTTCATCATTTCAGTCAAATGTGAAACGGACGATGAATAATTCACAGGTGATTCAGACACCATCTGTTACATGGAATAAAGAAATGACAGCCGACATTTTACGGCTCGGCGCCCAGGGGATTTTACTGCCAATTTTTAATTTTCAATCAAGATATGTGTGTCTAAATTTGGACAGAGATCAAAACTGGTACGGAAAAAATCAAGACTGTAATTGAAGAAGCATCGGAGGAATTTGTGTAGTATATGAATTTTTTTATGCAAAGATTAGTAATATTAAATTTTTTAACTTTTTTTATGCACAGATTTTAGTAATCAGAATTTTGATTTCCTTAGTAAAAGGTTTAATATTGAAAGTTAATTATTATTATTATTTGAATTGATTTGGAAATTTATTTAAAAATTATCTAAACGCCATGCGGATGGATAGCTTTTATGCTCGCGTCATTAAAAATTTCACAAACAGGAAAGGTTTCTTTCACTCGATGCACTGGATAAACAGCGTTCGAATAATAACTTTAATTTCCATATAGAATATGTAGAAGTTTGAAAACCATCCATAGAATTGCAGCAAAATTGTAACTTTTGAATCTTTTGTAAACATCAAGATCCTTTCCCGATGTGATAGAATAAATAAATTGGTTTGGCATCTCTTTGCTCGAAGACTCTTAATTGATCGTAAATAAGAAAAGTGATATTAATTGCATTAATTTTGCGAATTGAGCTTTTTCTGTAATCGTCATTTGTACTCTGCACTGGACAAAACTCCAAAATACTGCTGCATTTAGAAACTTGAATATCAGTTAATATAATATACCAAGAAAATGTTATGAAATGGTTTATAAGGCTAAAGACATCATGTGCAGAAGTACACCATACCACGTTATATTAGCCAATAGTTCTTCATTGTGCGTACCAATTAATTAGGCCTAAATAAGGGTACAAAATAAGAAATTGATCAAAAATCAGTATTACGCTAAGTATTTTACTTATTTAACAACTCCGTGTCATTCTATCGAGTCATATTCTATTGAATGCTTAAATTTTTCCACTGTCATCGAAATAGAGGCTTTAGGATGCATCAGAAGTAGAGCATATAAAACCAATAACACCGAAAACCGATTAATTTTAGCCCGCTAAAAACTAAACATTCTAGTCTCTCATTCAATGGGGCGTGTAAAAACTGGCCAGAAGAGCTCAGGCGATAGAACGCGGTCTATTGACTCCACCAGTTTCATGGCCTAGCACAGCGTTTCTACCAGCTGTACAGTGTACAGCCTATAGTAAAGCGTTTCTACCAGCTGCCAGTGTACAGCCTATAGTACAGCGTTTCTACGAGCTGCACAGTATACAGCCTATATAGTACGGCATTTCCACCAGCTGCATGGACTAGCACAGAGTTTCTACCAGCTGCACAGTATGCTGACTATAGTACAGCATTTAAACCAGCTGCACAGAGAAAGCGTTTCTACCAGTTGCACAGTGTACAGCCTATAGTGCAGCATTTCTCCACCAGCTGCATGGCCTAGCACAGCGCTTCTACCAACTGCACAGTATACAGCCTATAGTACAGCGTTTCTACCAACTGCACAGTATACAGCCTATAGTACAGCGTTTCTACCATCTGCACAGTCTAGTACCTGTCTCTTATACACATCTAGATGTGTATAAGAGACAGGGCCAAGCCAGTCGCCGGACTTAAATCCGATTGAAAATTTGTGGCGGTATTTGAAGATTCAAATTAAGAAAAGGTCCCCAACAAACATTGAGAATCTTAAGGTGGTGTGCCAAGAAGAATGGTATAAAATACCAGTCAGCATCTGCAAATCATTAGTCGAGACGTATAGAAATAGACTGGTGTCTGTTGAGCTGAATAAAGGGTATTCAACCAAGTATTAAATTAAAATAATGCGGATTTATTGTTTTGTACGAATACTTTTTTCACCCCGAAAAGTGAACATGTTGCATTGTTTTTTGTTGCATTGAGATTTAATTTCTTTTGATAGTATTTTTGAATAATATGCGTCTCTATACATAATTTAAATCACTTTTCCTGTTAAGTTTGTGTACTTACATACATTAAAATACGATTTTTCAAGTGTACGAATATTTATTTCCCCCACACTGTATAATAAAACCAAATATCAATTAAGCACCGTTGTTTGATCGGTTAAGTAGGCGTTCAACCGTCAGTCTGAGAGATCCAAATTGAGAATAATAAGTATTAAAACAGAATATTAACTTTTAACTGTTTTTTTAGATGGGCATTCAACAGTTCGTCTGAAAAGAAAAATTGAGAACAATAAGTAATAAAACTGAATATTAACTGATTAAATTTTTTTCTTTCAGCAGCTCGCCTGAAAAGAACCAAATTGAGAATAAAAATTAATAAAACGGAATACTGACTCATTAACTTTTTTTTCTTCTAGATGGGCATTAAACAGTTCGTCTTAGAGGAACCAAATTGAGAATAATAAGTAATAAAACAGAATATTAACTCATTAACTATTTTTCCTTTAGATAGTCATTCAACAGTTCGTCTGAGAAGAAGCAAATTGAGAACAATATAAATCAGTACTCACTGCAGCACTGCAGTAAGTGACAGAGAGCGCATTTTCTCGTCGACGAGAACGTAAAGTCACTGACGGACAGACGGACGTAGCGAGCACAGTAGTGCATTTTTTCCATAAATGAGAAAATGCTCTAATAATAAGTAATAAAACTGAATATTAACTCATTAACTATTTTATCTTTTAGATGGGCATTCAACAGTTCGTCTGAAGTAAACGACATCGAGCACAAGCGGTATAGCGTGGTAGGGGAAGGTGTGAGTCAGGTCTGGTACACTCCTCGCTCCCACCTGGACTACGGTTCCCTGCTCTGCTGGGCCACCAATGATGTCGGTACACAACTCGAGCCTTGTGTCTTCCATATCATCCATGCGTGTGAGTATAATGATATCACTTCATCCATGCATGTGAGCATATCATACACTCTTGTGAGCATGATGATAACACTTCATCCATGTATGTGAGCATTATGATACTACATCATCCATGCATGTGAGTATAATGATAATACTTCACCCATGCCTATGAGCATGTCATCCACGCTTGTGAGCATAATGATAACACTTCATCCATACATATAAGCATAATGATACTACATCATGTACGCTTGTAAATATAATGATGCTACATCATGTATATCCGTGAGAATCATGATATCACTTTATACATGCCTGTGAAGATAATGACATTTAATTAATCATCCAAGCCTGAGAACACAATGTTTCCACATCATCTATGCCTGTGATCCCGATGATACTACATCATCTATGTTTATGGCCATAATGATACCACTTTATCCACGCTGTGAGCGCAATGATATCATATCACCCACGCCAATGAGCACTGAGATGATTTTTTCGTTCTTCTTCATTATTTTGGCCATTTTTTCTGGCATTTTTTGTTTGTTTGCACAATTTATTTCAGCATGCGACCTCAAAATTTTTTTCATTAAAACCAGTTTGCCTAACCCGGTATCAACGACGTGCATTCATCCAAATTTCCTACTCCCGTGTTGCTCATGCCTCCAACAAACAGGCACAGATTAAATACCACTTTGTCTTCATTTCCAGCGAGCCCAGAGCCTGTCCACAACTGCTCTGTGTCGGACGTGGGCAGATCCTCGGCCTCAGTGCGATGTCACGCAGGCTGGGACGGCGGCCTGCCACAAACCTTTACTCTATCAGTGAGTCAAGGCGAGCGTTCTGCCACCGCTGCCACCAACAGCAGTCGCAAGGGAGACCCAAGAGTTCTGGCGAACACTTCCAGTTCACCCAAGCCAGAGTTCGCGGTTACTGGCTTGGAGTCTGGAACGCAATACGTGCTTACCATCACAGCTGTCAACAGCAGGGGACAGAGCTTTCCTGTTAGCTTGGCAATCCAGACAGCGGAGGACAAGGCCATGAAGCACACCAGTCCAGGTGGAGATTGAATTAAATTATAATTATATTGTTCATGAGAGAAGGCCGTGTTATTGCTGTTCGCATTTATATCGATCATTGAACATGGCAGTTCTGGTAAACATGATATATGTATATTTAACTAGCAAGATTTACGGTCCAAATCCAAAATCCAAAAGAAAAAATAATCAAAAATTATATTTATGAATTGAAATTTGATTGATAACAATGAACGTTATTTAACACTGATATCTAAACTTTGTAGCTTTAAGATTGACGCCTCAAATAACATATATAAATTGATGCTTACAAGACTATGGAAAACATCCAGAATGCAGTTAAATAAGAAAATATCAATTATCATTCATTGATAATTAAAATTTTAATATTATCCATAATTTTTTTGCAGTGATAGGAACGATGATGCCGTTCCCTCCGATCCTGGCTGTGGTGCTGGGGGTCACGGTATCCTTATTATTTATGTGCATCATCCTGGTTGTCGTGGTGCGATCCCGACGATCAGTCGGCAGGAATGAAGTAAAAATGACAGTTTATCCTATCGGTAAAGAGGCTGAGTCTCCAACACTCCATGCTATTGAAAATAAGGTAATAACTGAATTCGATTCCACTGCGGAAAGAAGCCCGGATTTGATTCCCGACGGTGAGTTTATCTGGAATTTGGGTTGAAATTCGTGCTGAAATTCATGTTGCTGCGATGCCGGTTTAATTATACGAGGCTCAGGATGAATATTCTGTCTCGATATATTTTGGCCCGTAACTGGCAAAAATAATTGTGATATATTTTTGTAAGATTTACACTGTTTGTTTGCTCTGTTTGTGTTGAATGATTTTCGTTGGATTTTGAAATGAAATCGTTTATCTGAGCTTATAGAATTACTTGAGGAGCCTGTTAAGACTTGAAGGCTTGACTAAAATATTTTACTGGTTGTATAACCAAAATAAAACAAATAGTTGCAAAAGAATTCTGATTTGAAATGTTGAAGAAAAAGTTGCTCTATCAGTAGCATATGATAAAAATTGGCATAACTTTTGAGGCACATCTGTTCACGATTTTAGCGTTTTAATTACCAAAAGCTTAAAAATACACTCATGATTATTAATTCAGCATTTTCTTCCGACGGCTTTCTTTAGAAAACTGTGTAGGGCATTTTTCCAGTTTTGGAATTTGATGGCAAATCTTTCGAATAACGGAACAAATGTTTTTGTTATTTCCAAGCGCAAACGTTCAATTCACTTCCTCTATCCGCTGATGGTCCTAATGGAACAATGGAAATATGAAGAAATATTGAAAATGTCTCCCTACGATTCCTCTGTTTGATGTTCCATGCGTGCATTTTTCGATTTTCAGACCGTCCCGGAAGAGGAGCGAAAGTTCAGTGCTACGCTGGCCACGATATCAAGTCTTCAGCAATGACAGCCTCGACAGCCAGCACGGTATCTAGCAGCACTCGCAGACGTCGTGGTAGTTCAGATAGCAATTCCAGCACCGGGGAAATAGCCGCGGACGCTCATTTAAATTCGCTGCTTCAAGTGAAGCAATCGCATAACATCGACGTTTCTTACGAGATGGACCGCGTGGCGTATGATGACGACGCAACTAAAGTACTATTGCATGGAGAGTATCGTCAACACAATTCTATTGATCCTGGTGAGTGTTTCTGAGGAAGTATTGATTTATATAGTTGTAGAGGCAACTACTTCGGATAAATTAAAATAAATGTTATATATGTTAAATGTATTTATTACTTTAATTATACTATGCCATAAATTGGAATAGTAATAAAGAAAAATTTTACAAATTGACAAATATAAAATGGAATATTCATATTTTTCAAGATAATCTAAGCTTTATATTTATTGCGTAAAAATAGTGATAATTGATACACTTTTTACATTAACATCATGGTGACTTGATCCGCTAGATACGACAATCTTCGATACTGCAGATCGTCCTGCCTATCACTGTAATTCATTCGACGTCAAGAAACCGTTCCCGCAAAATTCTTCATCGAAGTTATTGGAAGACGACGTGACGCCGTTGGGGCTGACCGAGCCAAAGAAACAGGTAAACTCTTTCAATCAAAACGTCCCAAATATCAATAGGAATCCATGATACAATCAATTCTGAATAGAATTCTGATCAGTGAATGTTTGATCCATGAATTTCATTTAAGTTTTAGAGTACATTCATCTGGATGAATTTGTTTTTTCCATGTCTTCTACGCGTTGACTTTCATTTTCAATTTCTGTGCAGCTGATTTGAATGATTTAAAACGTGAAACATAAGAAATTTCTGGTTCAAAACCAAATAATTAAAATAATATTTGCAATTGTTCTTCTTAGTTGCTGGGTAGTGGAGAACCCATTGGCCTAACTTCAGACCCGCGCAGCAAGCAGCTGCAGAATCAATCATCACGGCCGCCGTACTCCATTTCTCCGACGCCTTCGTCTAATATATTCCCACACCCAAGAAGCTCGTTGGTGGCATCCACTCCCGAGACCAAATTGTCTTCAGATCCGACCGGGTCCCTGCAACAACGGTCCCAACATCCTCATTTCCCGGCTCCGGGATGCATACCTCTCTACAGGTCATCCCACAACAATACCCAATCCATGTCACCACCTCCGATTCCCACTGTTACAACTCCCCCTACTCCATCTTCATCTATTTACCATAGTTTGCCGCGTGGCAATCGCTATACGGGACGGAATGGCCCTAGGAATCTGGAAACTACCCCGTATCCATCCAATTCGAGTGCTTTTTCCACCATAGTACGGACGAAATCACCCAACTTGGGCACTATCTCCACTCGAGGCTCGGACGCATGCAACAGGGAGAGTTCTGTTTAGTATATACGCCGCGTATGATGGAAGACTCAGAACTGTATTGAGTCTCTAGCTAGGAAGGAACTTGCATGACCGAAAAAATTCTGTTGCACACTCTCATCAGTGGCAGTTTTTTTCGGATCACGCATCAAGTACCGGTCTTTGCGCTCAGTTTTGTCCACCAAATGTTTTTTTTGTCCACGTCTCTTCATAAAGCGCGACAGGATGAGCTTCGTTTTAACCAATCAGTCGATGCTGTTTGCTGAGTGTTATTATAACAGCTAAATTAAATAACTTACCTCAAATTATAAAACTGCCAATTTCAAAGTAAGATGTTAATCGAGCATGAGATAAACTGTAGAACACAAGGGAAGAAGAAAATTGTTGAATATCCATATCAAGATTGAATTATCATCAGTTCTGCTCAAATTAAATTACGTACATAAGCACATATCTAGTACGAGCTTACATATCATTAATCACTGAAATAACTAACTTGTAATAATGAGATCATATTGCAAATCGCTTCTGAAAATCTTTAATCACTCGAATGGTGCTGTAATATTGATTTTATGAGGAATAGTTCACCCTTTTATGTCACTTTCAAAATAAAAATAAAAGAATCCTAGGGTATATTTACAAAATTTTACAACCATCCTCTACTATACAGCATATATTTAACATTTACCACAGTTTAAAACAATTGATCACAGGTCATGTAATTTAAATTTTTCCTATCATATAAAACAGCAAAAATATACTTTAACATTTGGCTCCGTAACATTACATTTGTGACTTAGGCGTATTGGAAAATTGTCGTGAAATTGTGATGGGTTAATTATAATTCTCATAATTACTTATAAGTTTCTTCTTATATTTAGAAAATTGGAGAAAATGTGTTATAGCGGGTATTGTTAAAATAATATATTTTTAATGTAAATCGCGATTCGAGCTAGACTCAGTTTACAACTATTTTTTATAACCTTACATAATAACATTCACGAAGGCACGATATCATATTAAGATATGAAAATATCACATTTTTTGTAAGATTTGTATAACAAAATGCAATGGTTTTAACTTAAGTCCAGAGCTTAAGTAGATTTTTTTCGTATTGTACAAGTTTCAAGTAATCTTGAAACGAATCTTGAGTCGTTATCTTGAATCTTGAGTCTTTGTATATAAGTGTGAATATTATTTTTATGGGAACTATTTTACGTCTATGATTCTTAGGAGGTTTGTAAATAATTATAAAAAAATATATATGGATAGATATGTTTTAAACCCCCAACGTATCGCATAAGGTGAATTGGTTGAAGTGTGAATGAATGTTTTTATCGGCAATAAAGATATAACGCGATTTTGTCTCATTTGAAAAACCTTGCTATTTGGTAAATATTTTGTGGCTTGCAGTAATAAATATTTCGCAATAAATTTACGTCTGAATGATATGTCAGAAAATGCCAGTTAAAAATGCCAGGTGTATATCAACGCTCCATACAAAAAAGTTATATAAATAATAATATACCAGCATATTGATGGCAATGAAATTAACGTGGAATCGCGTCGTACAATAAAAAACAAGGAGCTTTGGCAAGACGGCCATATTCGAAAAAAATTTTGACGCCTGTAAAACTGAATTTAAAAATTTTTCTGAAAATATGTTGCAGGCAGGGTGATGGTAACGAGCCTCAAAATGAAATCGCGTCACCCAATAAAAAATATTTACAACAAATTTTCTCGCAGAATGGCCGCGTCTACCAAGAAAAAATATGTGCCTAGCAACATGTTGTTCCATGAACTTTACGAGCAACACGTATCTTGTTAGGTATAGCCTCGTGCATCTATTGTAGCCCAGTCCTAATTCAGCCTCGCTTAGGACATTAATCTTGACAATGAGGTCGTAAAGTGGAGGAACGTTCCAGGTGAAGATATACGATGGGTCCCAGGTTCATGTTAGTAAATCTTAAGGCTAATCAAGGTTACAGATTTGTGCACAATGTGTACGAAGACTCGGTCTCATTAGCCTTTATTTTTTGCTAATATAAATCAGCCAAGCAAGAAAATGAGTGCGCCTATTTACGTCTAAATCGATGCTTCCGCACCATGAACACGATAATGAAGATGTCAGTTTCCGAATATATCATATTTTGGTGCACTGTTTGGCTTCACTTATGGTTAATTCTATTTCTGACAGATGAATCTATTTTCTGTGAAAAACAGCATTTTTTCCTGTGAAAGAACAGCATTTTGGTTTTACAAGTGCTATGCATTAACTAGGGTTGACCATCGATCAATTTAATGGACCAGTGCTTTTCATTAGAAACAGGTTTTTCAACGCTATTTTTTTAATTTTTTAACTCTTGCAAATAAAATTGAGCACCAATTGAAGATCTGGTGGCATCGGAAAGTGAGTTGTACTCATATTGTTGAAAACAGATGGACTCATTAGAAAGAAACTCATTAGTGAACAAATTAAGTTGGATGCAGTCAATGAACATGAAGGTCAGTACATTTTTACTACAGACAACGTTTTGCGTTAGTGTATTATATGAAATGATACGGATAGTGAATTGTATGAAACATTTCTTAAAGTGAATTGTATGAAACAAATTCTCAAATTGAATTGTTTGAAACAATATTCTAGCATTTAATTGCATGAAACAATTCTGAGCAGCAGCTATATTTCAAAAAATCTATCTGAACGCTAAAAACTATAGATATTTTTCTTATTACTTGGTTTGGCGAAACGAGCTCATTGTTTAATTTCTTACTTTGGCATCTTAAAAGAATTCATTCATTGTACTGGTGAAGTGTATCACTTACCTTATAGTGAGCTCATTAAAAGGCGACAAAAGGCACTTAATGAAGAACTTATTACGATTGCTTTGAAGCACTTGATTGTGAATATTCAATATTCATTTTCCAGCATCAACAAAAAGTCGTTTTTTATCAAGAAGCTCGAATAGTGAACCTCGCTCTAACATCCTCTATCTTTCCCAACACGGTACACAAGTGAGAAGTTATTTTGAAAGGCTTGCTTTACACGAAAGTTTTTGTATTTTACAATGCAACAAATAGGTAAGAAGTTATTTTTGTGAGGCTTGCACTTCACAAAAGAAAGTTTATATTCTAACACGGTAGAGAAGTGAGAAGTTATTTTGTGATGCGTGCGCTGCACAAAAGTAAGTTTTTTTCCAACACGGTAGAGAAGTGAGAAGTTGTTTTGTGCAGCTAGCACTGCACAAAAGTATAGGTTATTTTCAAACACGGTGGAGAAATGAGAAGTTATTTTGTGAGGCTTATGCAACACAAAAGTAATTCTTTTTTTCCAACACGGTAGAGAAGTGAGAAGTTATTTTGGAGGCTTGCACTGCACGAAAGTAAGCCTTTCTTCCAACACGGTAGAGAAGTGAGAAGTTATTTTGTGATGCTTACGCAGCACAAAAGTAAGCCCTTTTTTAACACTGTAGAGAAGTGAGAAGCTGTTTGAGAGGCTTACTCTACATGAAAGTAAGCCTTTTTCCAACACGGTGGAGAAGTGAGAAGTTACATATATTGTGATGCTTGTGCAGCTCAGAAGTAAGCCTTTCTTCCAACACGGTGGAGAAGTGAGAAGCTGTTTGAGAGGCTTGCTCTACATGAAAGTGGGCTCATCCTGGAACATGTCAAGGGAGGCAAGGCAATTATACGGAACGATGGACTGGGCAAACTTCACTAACGAGGGCGTCTAAAAAATCTCTTGAGCTGCGCGAGGCTTGGTAAAAACTGCCAAGCGGACTTGTTCCAAAATGAAGTCCATAAGAATTAATTTCTAATGGGAATCTTGTTACTTGATTCGTAAATTCGTATTTATTCCGATACGTAATTTATTTTTTGAAGTGAACTATTACAATTTCCTTTTCACGCTCCTATAACTTCACAACAAGTGAACATCCAACCGAAGTGTAGAAATTTTGAAAATGATATCACCATTTTAAAATATTAAAACAAATTCAACAGTAATTATTATGGAACATCGAAGATACATGAATTGTTTTTCAACTATATTTCTCCCATTTTCTCTTCATAAACATGTAATAAAAATATATCATGTACAAAAACTTGAACCATCAATTAAATGCCTACCTTAATTATTGCATCTTTCCTACTTGCGTATTCTCATTACAGTTTCTAGACCCCGGAAAAGTGCAAATTAAAATGAGGCCAACACGAGATTGTAGTCGGGACTTAATAAAGGCTTTGATGCAGTGCGATGGCTTTAGCAGGGCATGTACTTTGAATATTTCTTATATTTTCCAGCGTGTCGAAGTAAAAGGGATAATTAAATAGTTTTGAACTCATTTTGGCCTCTATTTAATTAATACGAAATATTAAATTTCAATTCAAACGAAACATCATACCAGAATTTTTACAATTAAAACTTATTTTGCGTAATAGAAATGTTGGGGTAAAATATGAATTAATACATTTTGAAATAATGAGTATTATCTTTTTTGTCTGTCACTAATACCTCATTTTATTGCACATGGATATCTGGCACATTTAGGTGAAACACATGGGGACTAAATCATGATTCGGTTGAAGCAATTTTACCACTTGCGAGTTTTTCGTTATTTAGATCCTGGGCAATGAAAGCGTTGATGATATCTGAATATATGAAGCAACCGTTTGCAGGAATCTCCAGCAGCAATCAATAATATTTTATTAATGATTATATAATGTTCATAAACCTACTTCTCAGTTCATCGCTGATAAATCTTCTTTAAAAACACTCGGCATTTCATGGCATGCCCACGCAGTCTCATAGCTCCCTTTTTGGTTATACGTTCAGCGCTTTTGGTTGTAAGTTCAAAGCTCCCTTTGGTTGCCACTGTATGTTCAGTCACTCTCTGAAGTTCGCCGTAGAAACTGACAACGAAAATTTGTGTTATATTTGCTCTAGCGTGTACACCGTAACTACCATTTGCTGTTTTTGAAAGAGGATTTGAAGTCACCACAGAAAAATAAATTTTTTTTACTGTAGGATGCGTTACTTCTTTTTGGTAATTCAAACTTTTTTATTTCGAAATTTCATACATAATAAAGTGATTTCTCCTAATTTCTTTCTCATTTCCCAATTTATAAAAAAAATTTCCCTGATATATGTTGCTTTCAGTTTTTTTTTTTTCAATGCACTCAGAACCAATTTACCTGATACGACATTCATGTTAAAATCTTCTTTTATATAACAGATATCCATGACGATAACAACCAGAGAAAGGCCAGTGTCCTGCAACTGATCTAGAGTAATTCGATTACAAGGTGGCATCACATGGCGAGCGCTTGCATCACATGGTGATCGCTTTAATGCCCTGGATCTCGATCCATTATTTCGGCAATTACCTGCAACAGCAGCGTACGAGCAATGAGATGCAGGCAATTATTGTCCCAACCACCCTCGTAAACAGGGACATTCCGCTCATCCGGCCAGCTCCACGACTGAGCGCAGTCAACTGAATTTTGCCCCGAAATTCGGTCGAAAATATCGTACAAAAACACTGGTTACGTATACGCTTACAGCGATGCTGTTCGCGGATAAATTGCAGATTTTGCGTTTCAATAAAGCTACGAAATCATTGATCAAAATTGAGACACATAACAAACAGAAGATTTTTAAAAGCTTGAATTTATCTCAAACATAAATAAAGTAACATAAATTAAACATAAATTATTTGAAATGCCTATCGATTGTGAAATTGTGTGGGTCAAATGCCTCGATTCCAAAGCAGACTGCTGCAGTAGCTGTTATGGAGCCATTTCGGCGTTGATTGAGAGAGAATTGAACGATGATTTCTGATCGAGTTGCTCATTTCAAAAGGCATTTATCAGGCTAGTTGACCTGATCCCAGAGCTGCTCGTCATCATAACAGGATGATTTGCTCAGAAATGCTACATCAAAAAAAATTGTCTGGTTCGAAATTGGAAGTGTTGATTTAGCTGATCGACAATCGCATAATGAGGTGACAGTTTGTTGACAGTTAATGAGACGACTTCTGGTGATTACTTATGTTGATAGTTAATGAGATGACATCAGGAGATAACTTATGCTGATACTTAATGATATGACTTCTGGAGATAACTTATCTTGATACCCATTGAGATTGAGATGATTTCTGGAGATAACTTATGTTGATGGTTAATGAGGTAATTCTTGGACATGACTAATATCGATAGGTTATCAGGTGACTTTTAGAGATAATTGATATCGACTTTATTGAGAGTGCTTCTTGAAAAAATACCTAATAGGCTAACACCAATGGTCAATATGAGCTTGCCAAAAATAAACTAATAACATATCGTCACAAATTTCTTAAGT